AGAATTAATGGAAACAGCAGATGAGAAGCTGCTGTGGGCAAGGTCTGGGGTGGGGAGAAAGAGGAGACTGTGAATGCAAGGACCGCGCCGGGTGCAAATGTTAAAGACCAAAGCCAGGTGGGCACAGGGGAGCCCCACAGGCCTGCCTCACCAGCAGGATGTGGCTAGAAGTTCCTCATGTCATGGGAGAAGAGGAACATAGAGAAAACTGGAAATTAAAGAATGACACCAACAAGAGGAAAGTTCTTATCAACCAACACTTTTAATTGCAAAAAGTAAGAACTTTCATTACATGGAACTTTAATTTACATACATTCCTTACATGGTGGGAGTCTTTACCAGTTTGCAGTATCCTGACTTGAACACACAATAATAGCTAAGCCATTCAGAGCCCCTGTGGCTGGGACAGCTGCCTGACTCCCTCTGCTCCCTGGGACCATCCAGGCCCACCACACCCTGCTCCCTGAAGAGGAGCTGCAGCTGACCCTGGGTTCTATCCCTGATGATGGCGGGGAGCATTGCATTGAGTCCCTGGCTTGCCTGCGGCTGCCCCATCCCCGACCCGACCCTCGGCATTGGTCACTGACCCTTCCACGGTGGTGGGGGCAGAGAGTAGCATGTGAAGGAAGGTAAGACTGCAGCCAGCATTTTTCTGAGGGTAAAACTGTGGAAAGAAGTATGGAGGGAAGGCTGTTTGTGATAAGATGGGGTTCTCTGGGAATGCCCTGTGTCTGCTGGCTCCTGTCACCTTCCAAGAAGGGTCTACAGTGCTGAGCAGCTGCGGTGTGAAGAATGGGATGCTACTGTGAGTAAGGGTGGCTGCACAGATGACCTCGCTACCCCCAAAGAGCTGCTTTGGGGAGCGATGGTGTCAATGAAACCTGGTACAGAGCAGATGTCCCAACTCCCCAGTTTCTGTCTGAAACTCAGAACTTACCTGGGTTCCCTTCTCCACACACTGCTTGCCGCCATGGCTCATTCTTGGACTGATGGCTGCTTCCTGCCAGACAGACACACTAGGCAGAGGCCGAAGGGTCTCTGGTCCAGCCCTATCAAGTCCTGATAGTTCCCAGCCTCCACTTAGTTATGTAACATTCCTTCCCTCCACTAGTGTGAAAAAAGTCTGGACATTTCATGGTCTCCAGGGAAAGAAAAATGACAGATGTATTTAGCACTAATGCTTAAATTATGCAGGGCAGGGAAACCAGAGACACTGAGGGACCTGGACAACAGACAAGCTGGCTGGAGGGTTTCTGTTCAAGGCCAGCATTTAGTCACGCTGCGTCCATTGTGGGTGGACTTGGATGTGGTGCACGAGAGGGAGAGCACCTGTCTGTCTCCCTGACATGCTTCTGGAAAAGGCTGCTGGGAACGTGGAGACAAGGGTGGGGAGGACCGGGAAATGTCTGCTTCTGGTGACACAGCACATTCCCGGAGGCTCCCGATTTTCATTTGCTACAGGGCTGTCTCCATAAGCGCCTTCACCAGCTTCCCAGCTTCCTGACTCTGACATGTATTGGCTTTGTACACATCTGCAGGTCCAAATATGGAGAGACCTCCAGCCTAAAGTACAATTTTAAAGCACATCTCTGACATTCCTTCCTTCAACAAGTTCTAGCGGGTGATGGGTCACCACTGAAAGGTAATGAGTGTGGAACTTGTATACTCAAGAGAGCTTTTCCTTCATTGTTAGGACAGCTCAAAATCCTAAAAGGCCCTTCTGTTTAATAACCGTTTCTCAAAAGGCAGACAAAATTGCCTCTCTCTGTGCAAACAGACATGCACCTTTCCCTTTCTTTCTCCTATAACCTGGCTTCTTCTCCTTTATGGACAAGGAGATGCAAACATTTGTTTTGGGGTTTGAACATTCACTATGCAAGTGACTGGGTAAAGAGCAAACTCATTCCAGACAGTATTAAAATGACTTGAGGCCATCACCTGCAGCTAAGGAATGTGAGGTTTTGTTTTAAAATAAGTGTACACTGAGGCCTACGCTGGGTTTTGGTAGGAGGGAACAGAAAAACCAAGAACTGAAAAACAAGTGACGTAAACTCCAAGGGGACCCACAACTGGAATTGGGCAGAGTCCCTCCTCTGTCACACATCTGGAAGAATGTGGAGACAGGAAAATGGCTGGACACAGTTGTGTCCAGCTACATTCACTCTTAAAAAGAGTTTTCAAATGGGGAGGGGAGACGTGAAAGCATTTTTATAAAAGTCATATGGTTAGATTCTTTCCTCCTCCACTTCTGTCCAACAGAGTTTTAAAAACAAAGCCTGCAGAGTTCCTGGCTCACTGATCCCCATCCCCAGCTTCTCCCACCCCAACGAGGGCACATCTGAGTCAACAACATCCACCGCTGTCTCCTTGGGCACGATGCTGTGATGCATCAGGAAAATGATGTGCTATGGAACCAGCTACCTACCTGCCAGCGGTTCACCGCTGTAAGCCTCCACTTACTTACTTGTAAAATGGGAATCTAACACCTACTTTACAGGATTGAGTGAGGATTAAAGGAGATCATGTATATCAGGCACTTTGTAAACTGGAATGCATCAGACAAATATTAGTCCTTTCTCTCAGAAAATGAGCCCCCCCCCACATCTGCCCATTTCATAAGACTGTTTTGTATTTCGTTGAATAGTGAATTTCTGTTTTCATAAACCGCTATTGTTATTATATATATTTTTTGAAACAGGTTCTCATTCTGTCACCCAGGCTGGAGTACACTGGTGCAATCAGGGCTCACTACAGTTTCCACCTCTCAGATTCAAGCGATCCTCCCACCTCAGCCTCCCGAGTACCTAGAACCACACAGGAGTGCGCAATCATACCCTGTGTGGTTCTAGCTAATTTTTAAAATTTTTGTAGCGATGGGGTTTTGCTATATGTTACCCAGGCTGGTCTTGAACTCCTGGGCTCAAGCAATCTGCCTGCCTTAGCCTCCCCGAGTGTTGGGATTATAGGCTTGAGCCACCATATATGGCACCACTGCTCTTCTTTTTTTTTGAGACAGAGTTTTGCTCTGTCACCCAGGCTAGAGTACAGTGGCACAATTTCGGCTCGCTGCAATCTCTGCCTCCCAGGTTCAAGCAATTTTCCTGCCTCAGCTTCCAGAGTAGCCGGGATTACAGACGCCCACCACCACAACTGGCTAATTTTTGTAATTTTAGTGGACATGGGGTTTCCCCCTGTTGGCCAGGCAGGTCTTGAACTCCTGACCTCAAGTGATCTGCCTGCCTTAGCCTCCCAAAGTGCTGGGATTACAGGTGTGAGCCACCGTGTCCAGCTTGAACCACTATTATTTTACTCCCTCTCTTCCCCCACCCAAAAAATTGAGGATAATCTCTGCCTCTTTTCATCAACCATAATAAGTATGGTACCCATTCACTACTTGACTGCTGGAGAGCTCAGGACATTTGGATAGAAATGCTTCAAACTGGGGCCAAACTAGCCTGTCTCCTCAGAGAGCTGACTTCTGGGCATACGCATCTCTATGGCGGGAGGCTACAAGAAAGTGAACCGAGCTCACATGCAGAGGTCACCGCCATGTCACCTCCTAGTAAATGCTCAACAATCTTATAAACCACCCCCTCTTTAGAGCCCTGCGGTTTTGCTCTTACTGTGGTGGTGGAGGTGGGGAATTGGTCAGGTGGTCCTATCATCACCCAGCAACCCCGCTTTCTCATCCTGACAACTCTCTTTCCCACACTGGGTCATGCAGAGGGACTTTTGCTGCTTCCAGCTAGATGGCAGGGGAATCCTGTGACACGATGCACAGGGCCTTGGCCATTAGAAAGGGACTGGCTGGCAACCCCTAGCCACTCCCGTCGCTCTGGCCAGTAGTAGATTCTGCTTACCAAAATTAACTTGAGAAGAAGTTGAACTACTTCTGTGTATCTAGAAAACCCTCTTTGGAGAAGTCTCCCCTAATACAAATTTACGTTCAAGTCTGAACTGAATAGATTTTCAGTAAAATGAGTAGTATATGCATAAAAGTCTCTACTTATCTTCTGCTACAATCATTTCTGTTGAACTAAAAAAAAAAAAAAAAAAAAAAATGGAGTTTAGGGGACTTTCCCAGGGGAAGCCTCAGAATACCATCACATGCAAAGGTTTCTTAGTTTCCAAAGTTTTGATCTGAAGTGGGTATTTTAAAAGGGCAGGAGTTAAATGGGAAAAGGAACACAGAGTAACTCACAGAAACAAAACAGAGATCTCAATCATCACAATAGTTGCTTTGTTACTAAGAAACTCTTTTGTTAAGGGGTCTAATTTTTAAAAACTCTCAGGGGCCTCTAAAGCACTTGTTTACATACAGCCCTTCCCCACGTGCCGCTGCAGAAGGCTGTAAATGCTTGCACAAAGCCGGCCTCTAGATGATCCCTCTGACTTCAAACCTCTTAAATCATAACTGCTTAGCAGCATGACTTTTGTATGTACAAAAGTTTTGTTTTTCCTGTATTCATCCACACAAGGGGCTGATTAAGAAAAAATTCCCTCAGGTACAGCTCACCCTAGTTTCACTGAATCCTGTGGAGGAGGCTCTGATGTTTCCACCCTGAGCTCTGTGAACTCTGCTTGTCCTTTGCAAGCCCACAGACAAAACGGGCTATTCAAGTGCTTTATGGTAAGATCCCCACTGCTGTTCATGACACACACAGAGAAAGAGTGCCTGAGGAAAGAGGTGTGGGCTCCTCCAGGAATGAGGGCCTCACAACCATCTTCACTCATCACTGTCTGCCTCTGATCCATAATTCTGATGCAGACACCTACTGTATCCATTTGATTTCTGCAATTGAGAACCAGAGGCCAAAGTGTAGTTTGTGTTTTCTTCATCTTGGCAATGGCATGACCAGTGGCCAGGTATCTAGTGGTGTCAATAAAGGAATAATATAGAGAGAAAAAAGGAAGAGGAAAAGAACATCCTTATTTACACCATTTGATTGTACACACCAAAAGCACTTGCGAGAAAACAATGCACAGAGTGAACCATCCAATCAGAAACACATAGCTTTATATTATTACAAAGAAGAAAAATACCTCACCTTGTTTCCCAGCACAAAGAGAGAAATCATTCTAAGACAGAGATCACATAGTCAGTTGCACGCCCAGCTGACAAATATTTTGGGTCTAGATTTCCTCCCTCAACCACATTACAACATCGGCTTTGACGCATCTGTAAAACATCTTTTCTGCAGATACTCAGACCCTAAAGATCAAACTAAGGGAGGCACCCTCTCCCCAGGCCAGCTACTCTAACTCATACCCCTCTGAAGACATCTGGTAAAGGCAACACAGCTGACAAGAGCAGTGCTGCCTCAGCAGTGGTGGACCCTGGCCCACCAAGGCAGGAGGGGCTAGAGCCGAGCTTCCAAGAAACCATCCAGATAGGCAAGGGAGACGGGGAGGGAGTGCGATGGGGGTATCAGAACCTGATGAAATGGAAGAAAGCATTACCTTGGGAGTTACCATTTCTAATTATTATAATAATCAGACTCCAGCCTGGCATCATAGAGACTCCAAGAGCCATGGACAATGGGAAAGAAGTGCACTTCCTGGATGTAATTCAAAGTTATCTGACCTTTTCCCACTGGTTCTAGATTCCATTTTGCTTGGGAAACTAAAATCTTTAATCAGCCATGGCTTTCCAAAAAGTACAGGGTGATGTGGCCAGGAAGATGGGGACAAGCAGGCCCACTGGTAAAGGATGGTTCTGACGTCAGAACCTGCTGGCTACCCTCTCTGCTGCCAGGGAAGGAAGCTGGCCATGCAGGTGAAGGAAGGCACCAGCCCTGTTTCCTGCCTGAGAGGCATCATCAAGGTTGTAGTGCCCAAAGGCAAGGAAGCGATCAGTCTCAGATGGGTGCCGGCAGAGTCCTAGCCAAGTGGCCAGGCTCAATCTTTGCTGAGCCATCTGTGGGAAGAGTCAGGAGGGCTAGGCCCCGGCCCCTGCCTGGCAGCTCACAGCCGGCTCACACATGCATGCAAAGGGCAGGTAACTAAGTAACCAAGCCCTAGAAAGCAGTTTCATTGTTTTTGTTTTTATTTTCCCCCTTTCAACCTTGTTTTGAGCTCTGGAAGCTGTTCCTGTGCACAGTTCTGTTTCTTACAATTCTGAGACAGTGGTTCCATCGCAGATGACCAAAGGCTGGACCCCTCTGGCTATAATGTAGACTTTCCAGTGGTCGGCGCCGGCATACCCTTGAAGGGAAATAGCAAGAGGAAAGCATGTAAATGTCAGTGGGTGGGCACACCTGTGGGCGCGAGCAAGGCGGGTCTGCCAGAGCCGGCCCTCAGGGTACACCACAGAGTCAAACACAAATCTTTTTCCATTCAATTTAGTTTCTGGTTTTTTGTTGTTGTTGTTGTTGTTGTTTTAGAAATGGGCATCTCACTATATTGCCCAGGCTGGTCTTAAACTCCTGGGCTCAAGTGATCCTCCTGCCTCATCCTCCCAGAGTGCTGGGATTATGGACGTGGGCCACCACGCCTGGATTAAAGACAAGTCATGCTCTGAAAATCTTCTGGTACTTCCTAGCATAAATGTTCCTAGTTATTATCAGTCCTCTTTAGATGCTTTATCACCACCCCTTACCCAGGGAACTGTGAATCAAATTGAGCAGGCTTACAAAGGCAGGCTGCTCTAGATGAGGCTGGTGTTGAGCATCAAATCTCAGCTTTTACAGCAAGAAGACAGAATAGATTCTGAGGGGGCACAAGACCTACTAGCCAATTTTCCGGTGTTTACCTATAATACAGTTTCATTACAGAACATCCAGATTAACCTAAACCTAAACCAGCACTGCCCAAATTGGGTTCTGCAAACAGCAGTCCTGTGAAATATTCCAAAGAAAACAGGTTCCATGGCCAAGTAAGTCTGAGAAACACTAGGTTTCTCCAGGGCTTTTCAACATCTTTGATACAGTAATAATACACTAGGCATCAACAAGACAGGCATTTCCCAAAGTCGACTGACTCAAGAGCCCTATTTGCCAAGGGTCTTTTCAAGGGGCTTCTGATCCCACCTGTGGGGTCATGAGTAATGTGACGAATCGTTTAGGAACTATTGTTTGAGTGGGCTATGAAGGTAAACCTAAAAACTTTAACCCTTCAATAATCCCCAATGATGCTGAACATCATTGAGCCTAGAGTTTACAATACTTTTTTTTTTTTTTTTTTGAGACGGAGTCTTGCTCTGTCACCAGGCTGGAGTGCAATGGCGCGATCTTGGCTCACTGCAACTTCCACCTTCCAGGTTCAAGTGATTCCCCTGCCTCAGCCTCCCAAGTAGCTAGGCTGCAGGCGCACACAACTGTACCTGGGTAATTTCTTATATTTTAGTAGAGACGGGGTTTCGCCATGTTGGCCAAGATAGTCTTGATCTCCTGACCTCGTGATCCGCCGCACCCGGCCTAGTTTACAATACTTTAAACATTTCTTTTAATTCATTGTTTTCAGAGACAGGGTCTCGCTTCATTGCCCAGGCTGGAGTGCACTGGTGCCATCATAGCTCACTGCAGCCTCAAATTCCTGGGCTTGAGAGATCCTCCCAACTCAGCCTCCTGAGCAACTGGGACAACAGGCGCATGCCACCATGCCTGGCTAATTTTGTAATTTTTGGTAGATGCAAGGTCTCACTATCTTGCCCAGACCGGTCTTGAGCAATCCTCCTGCCTTGGCCTTCCAAAATGCTGGATTATAGGTGTGAGCTACCCTGCTTGGTCCCTAACAATACTGTCTTGTACACTTAAAAATTTGTTGAGAGAGTAGATCTCATGTTAAAGTGTTTTTACCATAATAAAATTTTAAAACCAAAAATCTCTTGATGGGAAATTTATTCTAGAGTACTCTGGGCCCTGCTAATCTTTTAATGAAGAGTACTGAGTAGAATTCAACTTTTACTTGGTGACTCCAGAAGGGTCATGATGGGAAACGAATGTCCTGTATAGTGGCTGCAGATGTTGTACCTGACCCCCGAAGGTTTTCTGTTGATCTGGAACCCCTCTCCCCTCCATCTCCACAGGACAATGTACATTTTGTCAAAAATCATAGAACTTGCATGTCGTGGTGCCATTCTTCTTGTTTTCTTTTGTTTTTGAGATGGAGTTTCGCTCTTGTTACCCAGGCTGGAGTGCAATGGCACGATCTCAGCGCACCACAACCTCTGCCTCCTGGGTTCAAGCAATTCTCCTGCCTCAGCCTCCTGAGTAGCTGGGATTACAGGCATGCACCACCATGCCCAGCTAATTTTTTGTATGTTTAGTAGAGACAGGGTTTCACTATGTTGACCAGGATGGTCTCGATTTCTTGACCTCGTGATCCACCCGCCTCGGCCTCCCAAAGTGCGGGGATTATAGGTGTGAGCCACTGCACCCAGCTGTGGTGCCATTCTTAAGGGTCCTTAAGGTAGTGGAGCTGCCATCTGTCCTACAACACTGAATGATTCTTCTTGGTCAGGGTCTGCTTTCCTGTCCTCATTGTTAACTGTGGCAGCCACAGCCATCACGTCGATTTCTGACACTGCTTCAGGTACTAGGTGGCTTCCCCAACCCTCCATGCCCCCTTTGTTTTCCCAGACTTGCTCTCTTCTTCTTATCTTCAGTCCCCATCCCTCTCTGTGTTCTGTCATGTGACTGGCCTTTTATAGACACTGTCAACTACAGGGAGAGATCTCTCTTTCTGGTCAACAAACCAGCCAGGCACAGCACAGCAGGTAGCATGCTCTGGATGTCAGGCTAATCTGGACTATCTGCACCAGCGTTTGATGCTCAAAACTTCCTTGATCACTGCCAGACATTTTTTTCTTTTTCCCTAATTCTGTAATTGGTATTCTGGTTGCTTGTGGGAGCCGGAAATCTGGAATTCAGATAACTAAGGTGTTTCTGTAGTTGTCTAAACTGTTAGGCATTTGTAAAATCTAAGACAGGAACTTCTTCAAGCACAACCACACACTCCAAACCTAAATATGCCACAGAGATTTTTGCAATAGTCGTCTCTTGTGCTAAGAGCCACTCCATTACAGGAAAAAGATTTCAAACAATTTCCACACAAGAATCCTCCTTTTTGTAGGAAGTTTCCCAAGAGCCAGGCCAGCTGTGCTCCATTATTAGTTAATGCTTGATTTGTACATTATTTTTATTTCTCATTTCTAAATTGAATAAAAGTTACACAATTTAAAACTTGGCATAACTTGCAGTCCAGTTCCTACCCTCCTATGAGGTGTGAGGTTTCCGGGAATTTGGGGGTCTTCTAAGTGGGTAAAATTAAAAGAATTCAATTGGAAAACCAGTCTGGGCTCTGCCAGAGATTCCAGGTCTTGCCTAGGCTTCGAGAGGCAGGAAAAACGAAGTCAATAGTGAAACTTGCAGATTTATTAGCTTCCTCCAAGAAAACTCTGCTGTCAAATTGATTACTACTGACAGCAGCTGATTCCAACCTGTTTCTTTGGAGCAGATTTTGAGGATATAAGGCACAGGACAAGTCACATTTGGGAAAACACTGAGCCAGAGTGAAGGGTGAGTCATCAATGTAAGGCTGTGACGTGGTTGTGGCCAAGAAGGTAACATTTCTTCGTGTGACCACTGCCCTTATATACTGCTTGGTATTGCTTTATTTGCAAAATGGGTACAGATTCCTGGATTGTCCTCTCCTGGCTTGACTGTGCTCAAGCAGACACTTAAGGACTTGATGCTCTGCTCGACTGATGGTGCAGCCTTGGGGTGGTCACCTCTCCTCTCTGGGTCTCAACCTTTTCATCTATAAAACAAGGAACCGGTCTAAATATTTTCCATAGTCCTTCCTAATTTGAAGTTTCTATGATCAATAGACACATGTGTTCTGTATGTTATAGGTACAAGACATTTCTTTCTGCTATGTTTTCTCATTAAGTTGTTCCATTTCTAAGCATAAATGTTGAGCCTGTTAATAGGAGAAAGTTATTTTTGATTCTACTAAATAGAACTTTTGTGAAGACAGTATGTGATTCTTAAAATAGCTTTTGAGTTAAAAACTGAAAAGATCCATGGCTGACCCTGCCCTCCTGAGGCCCTACATACCGATATCTCCCGGCTCTATCGGCATGGCCACAGACTGACAATGTCTCCGGCACTGGAAGGGAGGGATGAGCTGCAACATGGCCTCACCACTGCCAATGGTAAACAGGTCATGCATCTTATGCATCTGGAGGAAAGAACAAGGCGGAAAGGAAAAGGAAGGCAAAGAAAACAAAATAAAAGCAGAGGGTTTGATAAATAAAAATGCTTTCACATATGGCTCTGAGTTTCCTAGCCTAAGCAAAGAGGAAATAGAACCAATAACAATATTTGCAATTATGTCCAAAAGACAAAACAACCTACTTTTTCCTAAGAATGGCATCTCTTGGTACTAAGACCAGAGTAAAATCTTTTCTATGGGTTCTCCTAAAGAGGCACTGTGTGATTTAGTGGGCAACACCCTCAACAGGAGCCCAGAGTAGAGCCTGCATGCGCTTTATAATTTGCAACTATTTTTGGCCATAGCTTCAAAGTAAGCCAAAGGAAGACACTGAATTGCAATTTAACAAAGGTAGTTCTAGCAGAAACCAACACATGGTGGTTGAAGTATACAACGTTCTGAGATTCTGAAAACTTTTTAGATAAATAGATAATCGGCATATCCTTTGGGCACTCTTCCATGGAATATTATTTCTTACTACCAGGGCTCTGATAAGAGGTGCACAGCAGCAAGTTAAAGTTTACCCATTAAAAACTAATGACACTAGGACTGGCCTCTGCCTGTGAAAACTAAGGAGACAACCAGCATATGCGCCTGCACAGGTAACTACTGCACTTCTGAGGGCGTGCTACTGTCAGCAACAGGAATTAAGTGCAACCTGCTATGTGCCAGGGAAGGAGTTGTGAACTCTGGGGATGGGGCTGGACCAGGGCAGGGAATAGGGATAACAGGAGAGGTGGGTCTTGCTAGGACATTTCTCCTTACCTTGATGATGACAGAAACCCCCGGGCCCTCCTCTCCCATCTCCTCCTCCTATCTCCTACCCTTCAGAGAAACCCTTTATATGCCCATATAAAGTGGGAGCCAGAAGTCCGACTCCCTAGGCCACATCTTGGTTTTCTCTTCACCACTCAGGGCCTCCAGAGTCTTGAGCTTTGGCCCCATCTTCCTCTGTTCCCAACCCTGGTCTCTCTGCTGCTGCCACAGGCCCTGCCCATGATGTTTCCATGGTAACACTAGAGCCATTTGACCTGCTAATGTGGTGATAGGGACAAGCCTGGTGTCTTTGGCTGGCCCGCAGTTGACTGGTACTAATATTGGCAGAAGCCTTAACATCTACAGTCTTGAAAACAATGTCAGAAGACCAAAACAAGTGGCTGGATCCCTTCTTCACACAGGCCTGAAGTGGGCAGGGTCATGTTCCTCCATTCCCAGGATGGCAAGAAACAGACAACAGGGTGGCACAGGTCAGCCCTAGGCCCCACCGTGGAGTGGTGAAGTGGGCCTTGGAGGCCCTCGCCTTCTCCCCCAGTGCCACCTAACAGTCAGGTCCTCACTTACGTCCCAAGGCTGCCTTTGAACACTGGGCCCACAGACACGTGACTTTACCAGGGCCCAGGGCCCAGGGATGTGGACAACAGGGTGGAGTAACAAGGCTGGGGAGAAAGGAGAGCTTGGGCCAGGGTGGGGAAACAGATTCTCTAAGAAACTGGGCTCTCAGGAGTTTTGCCTATTTGGCCACTGCCCTTTCCAAAACATCCTGGAGAACCACAGGATGACTTTGATAAGCATCTGAATAACTCTGTATTTACTCCTTTGGCTGAGCTCCTTGGTGTTGCGCAGGCTGGAGAAATTAACTTTGGTATTCAAGTGGTAAAACCAAGAGAAAGATAAAAGCCCTCGCCCAGAATTATATTTACGAAGATGAAGTCATACAAGGGCCTGAAATTCTAGCCGGCGACAGCAGGATAAACTTCTTTAAAATCTGAGGCAAGAGTCCAGCATCTCCACCCCAGAGCTGGCTGGCAGAGCTTCTTACTTCTAGACAAAATGATTGTTTTTATAGGGCTTTTACATTCCTTTAACACAATTCAGCAAATTTGGAGCCAAGTAATAGTATCAGGAGGTGGACACCACAGTCCAGAGTTGGTAGGGGGCCAAGGTTTGGGAAATTTTTTTTTTACAAAGGAAAATGCATGCTTTTAATTCTCCCAAACCAATCCAGGCTCAAAAACCTTCCTTGGTAATGAGACTCAACAAAAGGAGCAATTCAGAGAAAAGTAAACAGACACAAATGCAGAACAGCTTCTCCCAGGCCACTGGCCCCAGAGAGGTAAATTTGACTCTGAGCACTTGGCTCCAGACTGAGGTGGGAAATGACAGGGGCAGAGTGGGCTTTTCTACCCCAGCTGCATTGCCTGCCTATCAAATCCTTCCCAGGCTCCCATGCTTTTTGCCTTTCAAGTTCTCTACCAGAAATCTCTTAATCGTTTAATTCTGGTGAAAACCGCCCTGGGGGTGAGAGGGTAAAGGGTGTGTCCTTGGGCAACTCACTTAATGTCTCTGGGGCTGTTTCCTTATCCACAAAATGAAGAACTTAGTCTATTCATCTACATGCTATTCCTTCTTACCTTTTTCTTTTTTTAAAAAAATGGAGATAGGGTCTTGCTATATTGCCCAGGCTGGTCTGAAGCTCCTAGGCTCAAGCAATCCTCTGGCCACAGCCTACCAAAGTGCTGGATTACAGACGTGAGTGACCACCATTCATGGCTGCTTGCCTACTTCCCAATTTAAGGTAGGAAAGTCAGGCTAGGTGCACACTCAAGTCCTTCAAATTTTAAGATTTCACTTCCTTTAATATAGAAAAGTAGCTTGCCTCAGGTGTTAAGGGCAGGAGGTAGATTTGCAAGGTAACTAGACTTTCTGGAAACCCACCTTCATGACACGGTGGGCCTCTCCAAGTTTCCTGGCTAGCAGCAGGAGGGAAGAATTGTGGGTGTCCCCTCAATTCACCCTCTAAGCCAATATGCAGGGAAGGCCTTGATTATGACATCAGTCCAGCTCCCAAATAAGGAAAATTCTAGATCCAAGTCCTCTCAAAATTTCCTACCTTACTCCCCACAACAGGTTCCGGGTGAAGAAAGAAGCACTTGTTTAAAGAGGCATCTTTAGGAAATGGCAGATGAGTGAAAACAGGAAAAAGCTCATGTAATATTTGCGATCTGTTCAGAGGTCTTCTCCTGTAGCAGTTTGAAACAGAAAAAAAAGGAAACTGGTCAAGCCAGCACATGACTAAGAGAGGGCCAAGTCAGGGTGCGGAAACTGTGGGCGGTGGGGAAAGTGGGAAAAATATGAGTACAGTATCTTAAGTAGCAGGTCCCTGAAGAATAGTTGCAGAGTCAATGAACTATAACTGTACACACAGAGGCATAAACTCTACAGCCATGATTTGAACATGTGGGCGGAGTGTTGCTAAATTGCAGCTAAAACAACATATAGAGGAAGGAAAGAAACAATCTATTCATTCTATTTTGGTGAAGAGATTGAAGTAAAAGCAGGCCAGGTGGGGGAAGGAAAGAAGAGAGAAGGAGGAGGGGACAAAAAACATGACCCTTCTTCCAAGGCAGAGGGAGATGCAGGGGAAAGCCTGTTCAGTTTATTCAGCTGGGCACTCTAGCACGCAAATAAATGGCACATTTAAAGAAAGATAGAAGCATCAAGAAATTAACAAAATGCCTGGAAAAGCCATTTTAATTCCTTTGGAACAGTTCCAAGATGGTAAATGGTTTTCTTTTCTTACTAGACAGCAACTTTAACCACAAGGAATGAACCATGGCTTCTGTAGGACACAGGAAGGAACAGTAGGACAAACCTGGGTTTTGATCCTCGCTGGGTAACCTTAGGCAAGTTACTTAACCTCTCTGTTTCCTACTTTTCTTTTCCCTTTTTCTTTTTTTTTTTTTTTTGAGACAGGATCTCGCTTTGTCACCCAGACTAGAGTGTAGTGGTATGATCATGGCTTACTGCAGCCTCAACCTCCCAGGCTCAAGCCATCCTCCCACCTCAGCCTCCCAAGTAGTCTGGATATTTTTTGTAGAGACAGAGTCTCCCTATGTTGCCCTGGCTGGTCTTGAACTCCTGGGCCCAAGTGATCCACCCACCTCAGACTCCCAAAGTGTTGGGATTATAGGCATGAGTGATGCCTGGCTACTAATTCCCACTTGTCTGATCTGAAAAATGGCAACAATCATTCCCACTTTCCAGAGTTATTATGAGTGTCTCCAGCGAGCCACAGACACTAAGCAGCAAGGCACACTGCCTGGCACAAACAAGTGCCGAAAAATGCAGTTCTCCTTCTATTGTTTGTACTCTCTCGTCAGCCCCCTACCTGAGGTCCCATTCTACATAAAATGCCAAACACATACATTAGAAATGCATTATGACTCTATTAGACAAACTTGCTGTCCCCACCCTGGTGGTGCCCCTCCTTCCGACACCTCTTCATCCATCCCTTTTATGTCTCATCATTGGTTTATTGGTGGGATCCCAGCATTGGACCTGTAGTGTGCTGGGCCCGTGGTAGCGGCTCAGTGATAGCTATTACTGCTTTGTGAGTATTACTGGTCTGCCCCTTTCCTACTCTCAAGCTAAGTGCCCCCACTTTTTCTGAGACAGAGTCTTACTCTGTCACCCAAGCTGGAGTGCAATGGCACAATCTCGGCTCATGGTAACCTCCGTCTCCCAGGTTCAAGTGATTCTCATGCCTCAGCCTCCCAAGTAGCTAGGATTACAGGCATGTGCCACCACACCTGGCTAATTTTTGTATTTTTAGTAGAGTTGGTGTTGTGCCATGTTGGCCAGGCTGGTCTCCAACTCCTAGGCTCAAGTGATCTGCCTGCCTTGGCCTCCCGAAGTGCTGGGATTACAGGCGTGAGCCACGGCACTTGGCCCTTTTCACACTCACCATGGATAAGGAAATGGGAACCACCGTTCAGGGAAGCAGCGCCACCACTTGGTGAAAAACCCTTCAGTAAAGCCTTCTGTCACCTCGGGGTACTGGCACAAAAAATGCTGAATCTCCTCAGATGACAAGGGCTGTCCCGTCTTGACAAAGCAGGAAACAAAGCAATACAAAACAACACAGAGTTACTTATCAGAAATTTCCAGCGCTTGACCTAGCCTTTAAGCGAGCAGTCAATCAGTGGGAGACTCAGGCTTCTTGCTCACCTTGATCACCAGTGGATGAAGCTTCTCAAATTTCTTTGGGGCGTCTTCCAGGAGCATCACCTTCAGAGGTTCCTGGGCACAGCCAGTACAGTTGGCAGGAATGAGCTCTGACTCATTCTGCTCACAGTCCTTTGTCCACAAGGCGTCAACGTCTGAGAGAGGAAGGGACATGGAGAAAGCAGATATTGAAAGAGTACAGCTGGTACCTTAAGTAGCTCCAGCAATGAAACAAGAAAGACATCATTGTAATTTTTATTTATTTATTTATTTTGAGACAGAGTCTCACTCTGTCACCCAGGCTGGAGTGCAGTGGCACCGTCCAGCTCACTATAACCCTTGCCTCCTGGGTTCAAGGAATTCTGCCACAGCCTTCTGAGTAGCTGGAACTACAGGTGCATGCCACCAAACCTGGCTCATTTTTATATTTTTAGTTGAGATGGGGTCTCGCCATGTTGCCCAGGCTGGTGTTGAATTCCTGGGCTCAAGTGATCTGCCCACCTTGGCCTCCCAAAGTGCTGAGATTACAGGCGCAAGCCACCGCATCCAGCCCATAATAATTTTTAAAAACAAACAATGGTAAGCACTGGAGACCGCTGAAAACGTAAATATAATAAGCAGTCTCTGAGGAGGGAGCAGACGACAGGGGCAGGAAGGAGGGGTACTCTTCTCTATATACCTTTTTATACTTTGTGGAAAATGTCTTTTAACATGTACATGCATTTCCTAAATCAAATCAACAAATAAAGTATAACAGCTGGGAAAAACATTCAGCAATGTGGAGCTAAACATGTAGTTCTCCCAACATTTTCTAACTCATGACCCATATGGCCGAAATGTCTCCAGCACAGGGGGGCTGGTATGATAGAAAGGTGACCCCACCATCACTGCTGTGCCCTAATGCACTTCTCACATGTGCTAGATGTGTGCCTAGACCCTTGGTTCACAGTACACATGGGAGCCAGAACTCTGGGAAGAAAGAGAAAGAAAAAGGGCACAGAAGAGGGAAGAGATGGAGAGGGTAGACAGGGCTTTTCTGGAGTGATCTTTGGAATAAAGGGAATTGCATCTGTCTACAAGATGACCCTCTATCACAACTCAGGAGTGGGTGAGGCTGCCAGCCATAGTTTCCACCTCTACATGCTGGTCAGAAATGGAAGACCCCCAACCCAGACCCTGATGTGAATGACAGTGGCTCCCTGACAAGCCTGTCTGGTTTGGTTCCTTCTTTGAGGGACTCTCCTCTCTGCACAGCCTTTCCCCAGTTTCCTCTGTTGCCATCCTGTTTATAACGTTATTCCATTATTTCTTGTTTACTTTCTGTTCCACTTTGAATTTCATCTGTGTTCTCTGAGAGATATGTTTGTTTTAAACTCTGCTTTGAATCCAGAATGTTTCAGAATATGGTTCTGATTAAAACCCAGTGGAAAGCAAATCAGGAGACAGCCTAGAACAAATGATAACAGACAACCAAATGTGGCTGAAACGAAGTCAATTTTTTTAAACCAATAAACATACTTGGAAACTGACTCTTAACCACAAAACATTTTCTGTGGTTGTCAGTAAGCACTTTATCCTTGTTTTCTGCGAGGCAGTAGTAGTGGGGCATAGGAAATCCTCGTCAGGGCAGGACCGTGTTTGTTCTTGGCCTGTCTCCTGAGCATCCTCCAACTCTTGCAGACAGTATCTGTGTTTCCTGGAGGCAACTGCCACCTAACTATCTCAGCCAGTCTCAGTCTGCAGAAAGGTTATCAGCCAGAGGATTACTGCTATACCCCACCCCTGGAAGGGTGCCTCTCCTCCCACAGTGCTCTGGGGGGCAGCTGAAACTCAAAAGTACCACCTGTTTCAGTGGCACACTGAGGTTGCGAAGTGGCAATTTTTTCTTCTCCAATAGTTTCAAATGTTTCTTATTCAGGGTCAAATATGATAAATTCTTGCCAATATGCAAAAACTCTGGGTAATGGACATACCATGAGGCATAATCATAACAACATGTTACAGTTATATAGCATTTCAGTTTCCAAAGTACTTGTGATGGAAGGGGAAGGGGAAAGAAAGCTAATGCACTGAGTGCTTGCCCTGTGCTGGTCACTTTTCTATGTTACAGCATTTAATTTTCACCATGTAGTTACTGAGGAAGAACCGCTATTCTCATTCTATGGATGAACAAACAAAGTTAGAGGTGATAGGAAGTTCCCGAAGTGCCAGAGTGTGGCAGGAAGAACACAGGAGATGCTGGGCGTGCAGTGGAGATGCGTGGCGTGCAGTGGGGGCTGGGTAAGGAAACAGAGGCTGCAAAGGAAGATGTGGCGAGGGCTTCCAGTGCTTGAAGCATGTCTGACTCTACTCAGAACAAACACAGGAACTGTTGGAGACTTCTGAGCAGGGGTTTCTTGATGTTCTAGAAAGATTATTCTGGGTTGTGATTTAGGGTGCCCTAGAAGAGAGATGCTGGGAAAAGGAAGACCTGTTTATATTTTGGTTTTGCCCTTTTTTAGGGAAAAGGGGGTTGCACTGTGATATGATTGAGGCAGTAGGAATGGAAAAAGGGGTGGGATTCTAGAAGCAGTGATGATGAAACTGACAGCCCCAAGGAGCACTACTGTGAATGTTTGCACCACACTGTCCTCTGGGTCAGCGTCATAATAAACCTCAGATCTCTGCTATTGCCCATGTCATTAGTGCTCATCTAGGGAACGTCATCTGCAGATTTATTATGAAGCTTTTCTGTAGTATGTGTCATATTCCAACAGAATCAGTTAATTATGACAATCTTCCCAGGAGATGAGAGTGAAGCACCACGAGAAAGGGGCACCTTCCTCGAATTTGTATGAAGGTGCTGCATGGGCTAGCAGCGAGGAGCTCTGACCCTAAGAGCTAGGAGAATTATATTTACTATAACTTATTTTTTTATTTTTTGAGATGGAGTCTCCCTATCACCCAGGCTGGAGTGCCTCAGCCTCCTGAGTAGCTTGGGATTACAGGCGCCTGCCACCATGCCTGGCTAATGTTTATAATTTTTGTGGAGATGGGGTTTCACCATGTTGGCCAGGCCGGTCTCACACGTCTGACCTCAGGTGTTCTGTCCTCCTCAGCCTCCTAAAGTGCTGGGATTACAGGCGTGAGTCACCTTGCCCAGCCTGGCCTAACTTATTTAATTTTAATTTTATTATGAGCTTTAGAAATTCTTGGGATTTCCAGGTGAAGATGCCTTTAAAAAGCAGATAGAAGAAGAAAACCCAGTAAATGGAAATCAAGAAAGAAAAAGAAAGTAGGAAGAGCAAACTAAAAGAGAAACTTGGAGGTGGTCGGTTCCCTGAAGGTCTAAGAATACAAGTAAAAAAAAAAAATGTTAGTACTAAAAAGAGAATTTAATCAGGCGACAGAATACAAGATACATATTTTCAGATACATAAAAATCAATAGCTTTCTTACTCTACTGACCACAATCAGTTAAAAACTGTAATGGAAAATGATCTCATTCATAATAACTAGCAATAAATTTAAGAGGAAAGATAAACAGTCAGGGGTGGTGACTGACGCCTGTAATCCCAACACTTTGGGAGGCCGAGGTGGGATCGCTTGAGCCCAGGAGTTTGAGATCAGCCTGAACAACAAAGGAAGACCCCAACACTACAGAAAACATATATATATATATATATATTTTTTTTTTTGAGACAGGGTTCCATTCTGTCACCCAGGCTGGAGTACAGTGGCACAATCTTGGCTCACTGCAGCCTCAACTTCGCAGGCTCAAGCCATCCTCCCACCTCAGCCTCCCAAGTAGCTGGGACTACCAGTGTATGCCACCATCCCAGCTAATTTTTGTATTTTTTTTTTTGTAGAGACAGGGTTTCCCCATGTCACCCAGGCTGGTCTTGAACTCCTGAGCTCAAGCAGTCCACTCGCCTTGGCTGCCCAAAGTGCTGGGATTGCAGGCATGAGCCACCTGTGCCTGGCTGATAAAGTGTAAACATAGATTTTAATTCAGTGAGAAAAGGGTAGATTCAATAAATCAAATTGGGACAAGTGACCATCCCTATGGAAGAAAATAAAGTTAGATCCTTTCAACTTATACTGAATTAGATTCCACATTAATTAGACATACAAATAGATAACACAATTTTTTTTTTTTTTTTTTTTAGATGGAGTTTCGCTCTTGTTACCCAGGCTGGAGTGCAATGGTACGATCTTGGCTCACTGCAACCTCCGCCTCCTGGGTTCAAGCAATTCTCCTGCCTCAGCCTCCCTAGTAGCTGGGAGGACAGGCGCACGCCACCATGCCCAGCGAACTTTTGCATTTTTAGTAGAGATGGGGTTTCACCTTGTTGACCAGGATGGTTTGATCTCTTGACCTCGTGATCCACCTGCCTCGGCCTCCCAAAGTGCTGGGATTACAGGTGTGAGCCACCGCGCCCGACCGATAATACAAAATTTTTAAAATAACTAGAGGAGCTGGGTGTGGTGGCACTTTAGTCCCAGCTACTCAGGAGGCTGAGGCAGGGTGATCTCTTGAACCCAGGAGTTCAAGGCTAGCCTGGGAAGACAGTGAGATCCTGTCTCAAAACAAACAAGCAAACAACAACAACAAAAAAACAAGGAACAAACAAAAACAGCTTGGAATAGTTCCTGTGAACTATTCCAAACCATAGAGAGTTCATGTATTTTCATGAGTTCTCACTTGTATAAAAATTTGTCTGTAAATGTGAGACTTTAGATTAATTGGTCAATCCCTTTGGACATCAGTTTTCTCATCTTTGAAATGGACATAAAAACAGTATCGACCCTAAGAGACTGTTGTGAAGACTGAGAAATGAGTATTTTTATAATCTTCGGGGCAAGGAAGGCTTCCTAGAGGCTATAAAGAAAAAATGGGCAGATTTGACCAATATTTGCATATAAGAGACAAAGAATCAGCATCTCTAGCATATAAGCTTCTATTTGATTAAAACAAATTTTTTTGAGACAGGCTGTCACTCCATCACCCAGGCTGAAGTGCAATGGAACAATCACAGCTCACTGCTGCCTTGACCTCCCTGGGCTCAGGTGATCCTCCCACCTGGTGGCCCGCAAAGAAGGAAGGGAAGTGATGAGGAAAAAGGTTCACTGGGATGGGGTAGCCTATGCCATCCATCTGCATTAAGGAAGCCTA